TCCATGGTTTGGGATAATCCGTGCGGTACGGATGCATTGGGAGTATGGTCTTGTCGCTAGTTTTTGTTCCAGGGTTGGTGGAGTAGTGGGCCCAAAGTACAATCTGCTGCACACGAAGATCACAAGACCCAATTCCAGGTGTTTCACAGGGATTTCTTGGATCAAAGCCGTCTTCCCCTATAACCTATAACCATAGGAATGTCTGGCATCAGAATAGCAACAAATTCCAAGCCTTCTGTTGATGGCAGAGCCACTGAGCTTGGAAGCGGTACGACTGTACTAATACAGTCCTCGCGCGTCCACAGTATACGTACTGGTTGAACAAATAAATAAAATTTTTAATCATCAACATCCAAGTTGCATCGTTGTCATAAAAGCTAGGGAGCACCTCACACCTCACACCTCATACCTCACAGGCAATCAATAAGGAGCTTCCAAGAGCTTGTTGGATCGAGATTAGCTTCCGCTGAGAGCTTTTTGGATCGATGATGATGTACCGGTTTGTTGTGCGAAGTGTGAAGTAAGAAGAGCTGAAGTAAGTGTGAAGTGTGAAAAGGGCAGGGGAAGGAACGAAAGGAATGGTGCCTGGCATTCTGGCATTCGAGAGGCAATTCAAACACACAATGAGAATCCACCCCCCACTACTGAAGGCACCAATAGGGAAGTCAAGACTTATTGACTAAACTGGCAGCTGGTTCTGTTAGATACCCTATGGGAGCTTTTACGGAAATCTCGAGTGATAATAATTAATAATATATATTTTCACCTCAACAACCACTCTTTTTATTAAAACACCTCATGAACATTGCAAAAGCGGTTTTGAAAGTACCGGTAAGTTTGAAGCCATCGAGCTGATTGTACATCGTAGCCGAAGTATGTACGTATCTGATGGCACTGATAAGAATAAGTTACCTCCATGGTGCCAAGGCACCGCCCATGCAAAGAGTAAGCCCCCCGTACTAGTACATGGTGAAGAAAAGACAACGGACCATAGCCCGCTTTTAAACGAAGGACTAGATGTCTATCCAGTAATTTTTGTGGACAAAATTATCGCTGCTCATCTAGAAGGCACAAACTAAAAGCAAACTAAATGTACTACGGCAGGACAAACACACGTCTTGTTTTGCTACTAGTTGCTTGACGGTGGGACGGGTCGCGATTTTTTATTCAATCCTTCAAGTGTTACTCAGAGCATAATCTACTAGTTAGAAACGCTATGTAGTCCTTCATTCAGTGACATCAAAGCGAGGAAAATGAAGCTGACGGCCTCAGCCTGTTGCGGTCAGGTCTGTGTATGTGGTGATTCTAGCCATTTCGCATGTTTAAAAAAATTAAGAACCAGCCAAGATATACAACCGTCTCCGCCAAAATCAATGTAAAGTAGTGACGTTTTCCATGCTTTGCCCCAATTACTGAGGACCGCTTACATACCAGTCCTGCTTTCGCAAGGTCTTTGTGGTTGTATGAACCTTCTCACCACATGCGAACATGAAGCGCCATTACTTAACGACCGAGAGATGTAGGGTGGAGTACAGCTGGCTACTATAATTAGAAGCTTCAATCCCGCAATTCCAATTCTCTTGGCTCGCCTCTATCGCCTTTTTGCCCAGATCTACTTCCTGGGCGCTGCCAGTTTCCGTGTGGATGTCTAATAATCGAGCAGCATTCTCGCTCCCTCGAACTCCCACTTTAGTACAAGGTGCACAAGGAAGTACATACCGGTAAAACCAGCCGCTATTGCAGTCTGCTTTGACCATAATAAACAGACTGCTACGATGAGCTCTACGTTGTCAGAGCAACAGAGTGCTATGGGGTCCTTCCTCTCGCAATTACTCGCTGGAAGTGACTTTGAGAATGGGGTAGCAGAGATTGAGGTTGTCCAAGACAACGCCGTGGGGCATGGCAAGAAGACCAAGAATGGAAGATCTGTATTGGATCGCAGCGGCAGCGCATCTAGGCATCGGATATGTCGGTGGGATAGTTCGCCCTCGCAACATCATCAGGATTCCAAGAAGAAACTTGATTCTCAAGAGGTCAAATCCATGCGGACGTTGAGAAGACCGAGACGGAGACACAGTACAGAACTGGAAGGAGACGATGATGCTACCACTGGCGCAGCAGTATCATCATCCAGCGATGGTACATGTAGCACCCTGTCCAGTAGTAGTACCTCCGAAAGCGAAACTGAGAGCTTTTTCACAAGCAAACCGTCTCGTGGGTCCAGTCCGCCGTGTCGATCTATGGGCTGGATTGCCAAAGACGCACATCGATATCGAAACAGGGCTGCTGGAACGCAGCGACCCAAGAATTACCAATCGAGTGCTGCGTAAACGCAACGGGAGAAAAGCAGAAAAGCTACCCACATTCAAAAAGATCCGAATTTTGATGTGCTCCCAACATGATGTATACTATTTAGATCCATGTACCGGTACCATCCATAGAAGCTTGTAACACTAGCAAAGTCAAGATTTCTCATATCCACAACAGCGAAATCCTCATGCAGGCATTATCCCTACCTGAGAATTGCCTTGTTCCGTTTCCTCACGGGCCGTGCGGCAGAATGTCAGCTCCGTTCTTCTCTTGAAGGGCGGAGAGTCTATGAGTCACCCCAGAACTAAAACTGTAACAACCATACCTCACTCGCGCAGTAAGGAACTGCACGGTACGGTATCACACCCAAGTCACCCATGTTCCTGATCGCAATACGGCAGCAGCACATTGCTACTTCTAGTAGCTAGAAGGAAAAGCCATAAACATACCAAACTCCTGGTCAGCCAGAAGACCTCCCTGGCAATGCTGCGCTACCACGCGAATCGAATCGACTGCTTTCCTTTCTCAGCGCAGCCTCTCATCACCGTCATTCCCAAAAGGAGAGTCTCTCTTCTACATGCGGGCAAACCGGTATGGACGAGGTGTTCTGCCAGGCAGGACGAGTAAACAGTTACGTACTAATAGAAGTGCCCCCCTAACTAGCCTAATGGATGCTGGGACAGGCATTTGGATGTTGTTCCGGTTATCTCGAATCCTGCTCCCGTTTCAGGACTTCCTCTTCCGATTTGATTTAGATCCACGAGAAAGCCCAACCCAGAGGACTATCCACTACGGTACTACCAGACTCTCCAGGTATGGTCTCCGCCATGCCCTGAACTGGATTGTTTTCACAATGACAGGTGTCATGCGTGCTTTCGGGCTGGTTGACACTGCAGGCAATCAGTTGAAGGTGAACACGAGGAATGGGATAGGAAAGCCCGTTTTGTTACCCCGGCTCGGCCTAAGGTACAGCAGGCTATTTGAGGAGCATTTCGTAGTGGGCGCCATTCATGGTCTTTCTGGTTTAGCTCAGCTTTGGTGCGGTGGAATGTATCCAGCCAGATGCTACCAGAATGGCATTGGTCGGACTCAGCTCCCGGCAACTGCTACTGGAAGCCCCACCACACTATTCGCTCATGACACCATCAATCAGCATACCGGTAGGTATCAGCTTTTGTTGAGACTTGCTTGGTTCTACCCTACCGTATCGTGTCCCAGTTCCGCATAGCTAAACCTGCAACACCTCCTATAGCGCCAGGTTAGAGAGGAATCACGAAAGTCCCAAGCAAGGCGTTGGAGAAAGCACAATGCCACAATGCCATGATGCAACCAGCACTTACTTGTCAGCTGTCAAACTTGGCTTCACTAGCTACTAGGAACATGGTGGATCCAAAGTTCTGCCGAAGTATCTTTTGACAGACACAGCCCAGTCACACTTCGATCGTCGCTCACATCGAACTTTCGCTGAACTAACTTGTCTGTAAAAGAGAGCAGCAAAGCATCGAGACGCATAAGGTTCGAGGAGAGCGCCAAACCATCCACAGTTGCTAAACTTGAGGTAGTAAGGTATAAGGTACACTGTACTAGCTAGTGGTCACTGTTTGAATATGTAGAGCGGTACTGTACTTCAGCACTTGCTTCTATTGAACGCAAGGAATCTTCGGACGATTTACAGTCCAGTAGTCCTCCAATGGTTCGTCTATGTCTCATTGAGAGGGTGGGCTTGATGGTTTGATCGGTAGCCGAAATCAGAGGAGGCGAAGGCATCTTCGCAGCCACGGTTGAACAAGACAATCGGATGGCTATTGAACGATACGATACATTGGGATTGCAACCAAGGGTTTTGGCTTCAGCGGCTTCAGCCCCCTCCAAAACACGCAATGACTCATCTATGACTCAATGTGATTCAATGTTCTCCTGCTGGTCGGAGGGTTCAATGAGCTCTAAATCATCGATCAACTTGGCAGCATCGAGACAAAGTTTGTTTTTGGTACCAGTACATGTACTACGAGGATATGTACAGTAAATGTAGTAATCAGTGCTCAGTGGTGAAACTACATGTACTAGTAGAATACCTGGACAACTTATCTAGACGTGTGTTGTCGCCATCCATTATTAATTTAAAGCAAGAAAGTGCACTTCTAACCATAAATAATACTATTAATATTACGATTAGAGAGAACTGTACTGTGACCTCAAGTCATTCGGCGGTCATTGCGCTTGCTGTAAACAAAGTGGTACAAGTAGTACTTCCACTGGCTTCTCCATGGCTGTGCCGAATGGCCCCAAACCCGACAAACCGAGTTTCCTCCTCTTGCTTGGTTGGGATGTTGGGATGGATGTTGGGAACACAATCTCGAGAAGCGTCAAAAGCTCCAGACACCCACACCAACAATAGTCCCTTGTTAACATGTCTGCTGCCATCACTCCTCTCGGTGCTTTTCTGAGTGGCCTTGCCATTGCTTCTGATGCCACCTTGATCAGTGACAATGCTGCTGGCCATGCTCCCAAAGCTCCACCAGCCCTGGATCAACGTGACAGCCTCAAACGGTGGCAAAGCCGGCCCAAAACGAGCTTGATCGACGACGACGACGATGAGGACGACGACGTCGTCATGCCTCCCAGTCTCCCTCAACGCACAGTCACTCCGGATGTCAACTTCTACAAGACTAGTATGCGTGTTCAGCCCCCTCGGCTCCCTCAACGCCAAGTCACTCCCGATCCAAAGTTCTACGAGGAAAAGACCATGGCTCTGGCATCGGCTCTTCGAAAGCCCTGCGCCCCCCAGTTGACCACCACTCAAGAAGTGGAATCAATCGAACACGACACACCCAAGCTAGCATCTTCTTGGAAGATCGCCCCATCACTCAATCGCCTTGGGTCTGGCTCTTCTGTCACCATGATCCCTCAGCCGTGTCAACTGTCCAGGCAGGGGAGCCAATCACATTAAGATTATTTCGCATCTCCACATCTCCAAACTGAACATTCTCGCCAGCCAGCGATGGTGTTCCATTCATATTTACATACCATTTGTACTATACACTCATAAACTATACACTACTAGAACCCAACTAATTTTGACTCTACGATCTTACTTGCGATGGATGATACCGTACAAGCGTCTTCACTGTCAAGGTCTCTTCCTGGGGCTTGGCTAGCTAGTGGCCGTCTGGAAACTTCACAATCGGAAAGAGCAAACTCTTCGTAATTCTCTGATCAATTCGAGCAACGACTGCCGACTGCCAAGCATTGATTTTCCGGCTGGGCCTTCACGATGCAATCAAGTCACACACCGGTAGCATGCATCGCTCCACAGCCAGATCAGTGGCAAACGCATTTGAGATGGTGGCTCCTGCCGCTTCTTGTTTTTGTCCCAAGGATTTCTGGTTCCCCTGGTCTGGACAGTGGAAGCATGGCTTGGACGAAACCACTGGCTGAAGCAACGACTACGACAGTGAGTCAGCGCTCTACCAGCCAGAACATTATACCTACCGTACATGCATTTGCATATCCAGGAAGCAACGCTAGCAAAGACACCAAGTAGTTCTCGCTCTATCTAGGTGGTACCACCGCTAGTACTCGCCGCTCTATGGCGGGTAAAAATTACACTTCAAGGAGAATGCGGTTTTCTTGGTGGGCAAAGCAAAGTATCAGCCATCGATTAGGAAGGCCGAAAGCGACGCAAGGAATCGAATCAACTAAAAGAGAGTGAACGAGATGCATGAATGCAACCTGAGCTTGCTTCAAACCTCAAGACTTTTGTGCTGGCTGGCTGGCCAGCCAGGGGCCAATTGGGAGGAGAATGCACCCAGCTTGCTGGGTGTTCTGCAGGTGCCAGATCCGATCGATAATAGCTCAAACTAGACACCCGATGAAAAGTTGAAGTAACAGGCAGGGATTGTTCCGTTGCTGTCTAGACAAAGCAAGCCGTGCAACTAGCTGGTACTGTAGCTACCCACTCGCCGCCCACCCAGTGTTGGCGGAAGGGGGTTAGTTGATTGATTGCCTTCCATCCATCGACTGTTGCAAAGCAATGCACACGATCAGCCAACCACGAGACTGTTTCATCGTGCTTTGTACGTGCTACGGCACGAAGGTCATTCAGCGGTCAGTGGATAATCAACGGGATAGTATTGTCTAGCTAGCTAGCTAGCTAGCTAGCTAGCTATTAGAAGCGAAGAATCGGAGGTTTGGTACTATCAATGAACTTGCGCTTCGGATAGGTCTAAAGACTAGGTTTCGCAGGTGCAAGTACATGTATCTAGAAGCTTGGGCAAGTTCGGCAACACTGAAACACTGAAAACACTGAAACCTGTCGAATAGATGCAACCGAAACTGTGAACAACTTTTTTGTGTGTGAAACAATCAGATCTTTCGTGTTGATGATGTACCGTACTTTTGCGGTACGACTGTATGTTGTCACTCAGCACTCCACCCTTGTGAACTGTTTCTGAACCCTCAGGAAAGTCAAACAATAATTACAGGTCACATCAAGATCCAATGGAAACGGTTTTAGTAAAACACAAATGCCCCATCCGTCCCATAGACCCAGCAGAAAACCGTGTCTTTTAAGTCATCCGAAATGGGTCCATCTACCAAACTTACTAGTAGGCCTGCAGCCGTATTCGTACGTACTACGTACATGAGTGTACCAGTACTGAGTACTCAGGGCACAGCGGGTCAACAGCACCACAATGTAGCAGGCCCACCCACTTCTGCCTGCAAATTTAGTCATCACCAATGAGGTGGCGGATACGGTATACGGTATACAATGTGCACATGTGGCCAGCCCAAATGGTATACCGTTTACCGCAGTTTTTCTCTTTGATATTTTTGTAAAGAGAATTCAACATGGTTTACCGTGTACCGTTTCAATTATTTTGTGTACTGTTTACCGTTTACCGTTTATCTGCTGTGGCTTTGGGTTGTGCCTTGCTTCTTTGGAGACATTGCAGGAGGGAGGATACCGTATACCGTATATCGTAAATCAACTTTATTAAGTTGTAAAACCGTAAACCATATATCGTACACAGATATTGTCCTCTTTTGAACAAGTCAATGTATGAACGGTAAACGGTAAACAGTAAACAGTAAATTGTTCCCACGATGAACCGTAAACGGTATGGGCAGCAGGAAACTACATTGATCAAACAGTATGCAATACAGTACAGATCAGAATTTGACTTTTACAGTGGAAGCACTTTGAATCAAGCAGCTTCCTCTTGTGGGGTAGTGGTAGATGGTATGACCACTACTGGCTAGTAGTAATCACAAGGAGATGGCAACAACAACAACACTGTTTGCTGTTGATGCAGAGGACTTGTGTTTTTTCTTCTTCTTCCTTGATTGAGTCACTAGCAAACCAAGACTAAACTGGCTAGCTACATTGTGGTGCTGTTGACCCACTGTCGTACTTGTAGTACTGTAGTACAGTACAGCCTCGTCAAAGACTAAAGCCTGAAGTCATACTGGGCTATGGCCGTGACATCTCTTAGACACTCTTTGACCCAGTTGGTGGTGGTCGGTCATTCATAGTTTCCAGCCTTCAACATCTTGCCCGATACCGTTTAGACGCCAGTGGTATGAGTGTGACGCGTGAGGGGAACAAAATACACATCTCGAATGGAAGCCTCGCCGCGACTGGCTGTGTTTCATGGCTTTCGTCACCGTCCAGAGCTTGTCGTTCCCCATGCCCATCCCAGTCTACTTTCCGCTCACAAAATCAAGTTCCTGAATTCCTGAATCAAAATCATGTCGAACCCCCTCGCAGCCTTCTTTAGCGTCCTTGCCATCCCTCACGATGCAACCTTCGTCGACGACAATGCCGCAGGTCACGAACGCAAACGCAGACGCATCTCTCGCAGGGAGCGCAATCAACGCCGAAGCCTCAGTGGCGAAAACCGAACACAGTCTAGGTGGGAGACCAACGAAAGCCAAGAGAGCATCGAATCTCCAACAACAATGTCCAAGTCCCTTCGTCGCCCCAAGCGTACCAGCAGTGATGAGAACAATCGCAGGTTTGAAAAGTCTCAAAGAGTCATGCCTCTTCGTAAACCGATGCGCCAGGCAACTCCAGACATCAACTACGATGTGGAGCGGGCTCTGCTTTCTAAGAAGGGACACAAGGCGCTCCGCAAGCCCATGCGCCAGCTTACTCCGCCACCACCTCCATCGACACCAAGCCTGACTTCCTGGAAGATTTCACCTCCACTTCGCCGTGTTAGCTCCTCCTCCTCCAGTGGATCATCTAATGCCGCAATGACGCCTCAGAAATGTCAGCTTGTCCGACAGGGCAGCTGCTAAAAGGATCCTCTACAAGCAAGAGGACTACTGTATTCTATGGGGGATTACACAATGTATACTAAACATCCGGATTATCTGATTATTCTGCGCAACTTCTATAGAGTAGCTCCGTCCGTAGTGCTTGCTTGTGTTTGCTCGGGCAGATCGAATAATCAATCTTAGTAGGCTTGCTTCAAAAAGAGAGGGTGCCGGTGAAAGCTTCCAGGTTTTTCCTGCTGCCTCAAGCCATGCTCGACGGGTGGCTGAAGGCTATCTAACCAAAGATTAATCACGGTCAATATCCGTGGTGGGATCAGCAGGTGTACCACGGGCCACCGGTATCAGGAGTGGCTTCTGGTATTGGTGTGGCTACCGCTATGGCTGGGCGGTACCGGTACCACAGTCTGTATGCTGACTTCCGTTGCTCTAATGTTGGAGACTGTTGCTTTCAGTGGTATGAGTATTAGTTCTTGGTGGCGACTGATTGTATTATTGGGTACTGTACTAGTACCGGTAGGTATTGCATAGAGGATGACATTTTGGTCAGCGCCAATGGTATTGGTGTGGCTGTGGCTGGGCGGTACCGGTACCACAGTATCTGTATGCTGACTTCCGTGTCTTGCTCTAAGGTTGGAAGGTTGGACACTGTTGCTTTCAGTGGTATGAGGGTTAGTTGGTACCGGTGGCGACTGATTGAATTTATTGGGTATTAATACTGTACCGGTAGGCATTGCATAGAGGCAGGATGACAAATTTCGTAGGTGCCAATGGTCTTCAGCATGGAAAGTGATGTTGTGTACCGGTGCTGCTGATTGCTCCTTGCCAACTATGCATACATGGCTGTAACTTATCTGCTTCTCTGTATGCATAGCTAGTTACCGAATAGTACCGGTGCCACTGTATGAACATTGCCTCCAAATTCTCCACTCTGTGGGTGTTGAGGGCATAGCTGGGCTTATTTATTTTGAGGGGCGCACTTAGTTCTGCATGCTCATGGCTATGCATACAGTAGTTGCTGATGGCTGGCTTGGGTGTTTGGTGAAGGCATGGGTCATGGTACCGTTTTCCCAGAACGGAACAGCTCAAAGCAGCAGTCCAGAGGGACTCCACGCACGCACACTCCCGTTTGTGGCAGGGTCGCAGGAGTCAAAAGAAGAAACCAAACATGTCTCAATCTCAGAAGTTTGGCGTCCAGTTTGACCGTTGGTGCTCCTCAAAGAAAGAGTGGGCGAAGATTACTATGGCATATGCATACATAGAGACAAGGAAGATCAACTCCTAGTAGGCGTCAAACGCTCGCCTAGAGCAAGTGAGAATCTTGCTCCTTCCTTTCAAGCTCGCTGGCGCCATGGCATCTTTTCTGTATTCATCCTTTGGTATTTCCGCTGCACCAGCTGAACAGTCCATTGACCTTCACCATGGCGCCCAAGTCCAAGTTTCTGCTGAAAGATTCGCCTCCTGAGGTGATCCAAGCTTCAGATGGAGCGCCAAAGGGACGTTCTTATAATGCCTCATACGCCAAGCAGCCTGGGGGCGTTCGGGTAGATGATTTGGTCGTAGGAATGAAATTGGCTAGTCTGGCAATTACCGATAACAAACCCAAAACATTGAAGAATACGGCCAAGTCGAATCCATGGCAGGAAGAAGCCATGACCATGATCGCAGGCAGCCGGGAAGCAGCCCACAAGCCGCTGTCGGAGCTTTTGAAGACTCTTTTCAATCTGGACGTGGACTGTGTTATTGACGTCTCGGGCATCAAGCAAGGACGGGCTTTAGATACGCAAGGCTTCATTGCTCACAATGACGAAATGATTGTGCTGAGTTACCGGTGCACCACATCGGCTCTGGATTGGATCACAAACTTGTCGACTACCAGTTCGGAATGGGAACCTGATGTCGATATCGAGCTAGGACATGCTGGTTGGTGCAGTTGTATCCTTGGATATGGATGTTTAGGTGGAAGCGATCAAGTGAAAAAGCCCCGAGTCCACACCGGCTTCTACAACAATTTTATTCACTCGACGCCCATGATTCTGGAGCATATCAAGCCCCTCTTGACGGAGACCGAAAAGCCCCGAAAACTCTACGTTTGTGGGCATTCACTCGGGGCTGGTATTGCTACGTTGGCGGCAATCTATTTCTTGTTGGAGTTTGAATGGGAACTCTTGCCGCAAAAACTAATCATGGTCACTGCAGGATCACCACGTGCCTGTACGAACTCCATGGGCAAGATTGTGAAGGAACGCTTGGCAGAGTTACGGCCCATGGACAAGGCTTTCTTCTGCCGTATCGTTCTCAATGAAGATGTCGTGGTACGTATAGGCCGTGTGTGCTGTGTTTTTGAATCTGGGGTATCCAACTGTTACCTTTGATACGAGTGCCGTTTTTGTGTCTAACAACAAATCCATTTCTCCTGTTCCCAATGACCGACTCACACTCACGCAGAGCAAGGTTCCGCCCAGTGGCATTGGTTATACTCATGTCGGTAGACTGGTCTACATTACTAAAGACGGCGAAATCCTCATCAATCCCAGCAATGACCATATCCTCGACGCGGATGACGTGGAAATTCAGAAACTGATTGTAGACAGCCAGAAACCAGAGCAAAGGCCCGAGGAAGAAAATGATGACAGTAGCTCCACATTGAAGGAGCGAAATGAAAAATACGAAAAGATGCTCAAAATGATACCAGGGCCGTTCAAAGATCACATGCCCGACTTCTATCTCCAACCATTGGTGCGACTGTTTGAGAAGGAGAAGAATGGGGCTACCTTTGAAAAATAGAAAAATTCTTGCCAGGGGGGCCCTCGATCTTTGTTTGTTTGGCAAGCTTCATCTGTGTCGAGGCTAACAACAAGGCCAGGGCGAAAGAGGGACCGGACCCTGATTGCTCCGTTCAGTGATACATATTAATTTTTTGAGTGCATTCCTCCAACCTTCTTCCCCGTGTGGCGTGCCTCGTCTTGTTGTCATTCGTTGAAGTGGGATCCCCAGCAGTCCTAGAATCATGTTTTTATAGACCTTGGATGAAACAGTAGCATAGAGATGCGAGTAAGCATTAATATTTGTTTCAAACTACGATGTACCCTTTGAAGTGCTCAGCATTCTGGCTGCAGTAGTCTGCTGTGCTCCTGTAGCGCCCTTGCAACGAAAAACCATGGCAGGCACCAGCACCAAAAGCAGGGGGAACAGCCAGATGCATGAAAGAACAACACAGCTTGGATGGTTTCAACATGGTCCCCCGCCGTCAGGCCCAACGGGAAGCGCTGGTGTTACCTTGGTACTCCTTCTAGCTACTAGTAGGGTAGGAGCAATAGGCTAGCGGTGCTGCGACCGTGGTAAGATCGTTCCTGCAGGGCGTGGAACATGCGGGTAATTTAGCGTTCCACGATACCAACAGCAACTCTTTCGTCCGCCACAACTCAGAGCCAAAGACTTTAAGCCATTAGCCCTTGATGCGTTGCTGGCTGTACACGTTTCCCAAGCCCATCAACTCTAAGGCTTTCTCCAGCTGGCTAGCTATCCATGCTGGAGAGTATCATCTTGAAGCAACACGAGCAAGTGCAAGGTTCCACCCGCTAGAACCGCCAGACGAACTTTCTGCCTACTGCTTCCTACTAGGGCTCAAGGCTTCGATGATGATCCCGCTGGAGAGCCAAGTCCCCGGAAGCAGTCTATGACTTTGGCTCAGTTTCTACAGCTCCGAATTCAGAACATTGAACTACTTTATCCACGCTTTTGCCAGCAAGGAAGCAGTAGTTACTACAGTCATCTAGATGCAATCTAGTCGTTGAGCTTTCCCGTAATACCACGCATCGCTGTGTTGAAGCAAATGAAGCAGTTATGGTACTGGTACGCAGGAGTTCGTTGTTGTTCTCTAGCTGGCTGGAGAAGCACCTGCCTCCTTTCAGCTAAAGCTACCCAAGCGTTTTGGAATGATCAATGCTGCGGACTGAGGACTCATGAGCATTGCGGTTCCCTGCGACTTGAGGATGGTGGTGGAACCTGTAGGGATCAAAACACAAGTTCAAAAGATACCGAGCAAACAGTTTCCCTGGGAAGCATTACGGGAGCGATGTAATCGGCGGAAGGGGCTTCCACGGTTGCCAATTGCCTGGCTGTTGCAAGGCCACAGCAGCGAAGTCAGAAGGCGGAAGATGCAACCCAGCCACTCACGGTGTCGAATAATCTTCAGCTAACCCAGCCACTCTCGGTGTCGAATAATCTTCAGCTGGCGGTCGTATGCGGAAGTGGTTGGAACGTTGCTGGTGTGTTGCATGTGATTCCGCCCCTTGTTCTTGTGTTGACTAGCTAGCTAGCTGAACTGTGGAAGAGGCAGGAATGACCAATGTCTGCCTCGGGTGAAAGACGATGTACTATCTTGCTGGTACGGTAGCCAGTCGACAGCTCGGATTGGCTCAGTTGCTACCTACCAAGAAACGACCTACCATCTGCAAATCCAAGCTAGCTAGTAACTTGAGCTTTGCTTGTACGGCTCGGTGGTTACCTAGCTAGCCACATAGCTAGCTAGCCAGATCCATTCGGTGAAATCACAGGACTTCTCAGTGGCAGTCGAGGATGACAATCTTTGTGGGTCTCACCAACCCGCTGGCTGAATGACTCATGTAGTCCACTGGCTGGATGTGGTTAGCTACTCATGGTCCTTGAAGTGAACTTGCGGGATGCGGCAACCAGAGTAAAACTCGCGAATGGGGAGGTGATTAATTATTTAAATTTCTTTATTCTGAAGACCTACCTAACCACTGGTACAGCTGTACGGTAGCCTGAAAGTTGGCAGCAATTTTTGGCCCGGGAGCCTAAAACTCCCTTGCGCCAGTTCATCAAGGCGTGGGTATCATCCCTGCCACTGTACCAATAGCTTGGAGGTAGATCGGAAGGATATCTGTCTCGTTTCATCGCTCGACTGAGTTAACGTATGTCTATGTCTATGCCTATGGTGGATAGTATAGCAGCTAGCTAGCTAGATAACTAAATAAATGAATGTGAAGGCCAAAACTGTTTGTATTCTATTTGTACATTAGTTTGCTTTGCTTTGCTTGGAGGATATTGGCAGTATTATTGGAGACAGGAACGGAAGGAGAGGAGGATACAGTAATTCTTAGAATTGTGCTGTCCAGATTGTGGAATCAGCTGCTGCCATGCGAACGGCGTCTTCAGACTTTTGTTGGGAAAAGAGGGAAGAAACGAGCTTGAGGAGCTCCGGATTGGAGGTGGCAGTGTCCCGTTGCAGTTGTTGCTGGTACAAGACGGCAGTGACGCGTTCCTTGCGGCTTTTCTTTTGTGCCATGGCAGCTGTGGGTGTCACAACGTGCTCGAGGCCTCGTATGCAGTGTTCTTTGGGGAGCTTGCTGTAGTCGCCATTGGCGCGGTAGAATGCGTAGACAGTGTTCTTGCTGTCTTGCTTGAACGAGGCGATTTCCCGGGCTTGGTACCAGGCGTTCTGCAAGTCTTCCACGTTTACCATTTTGAAGGCGAATGTGTTGTTTTCTTCCGCAAAACGAACCGACTTCTTGGCAGGGACGACGGGAGTGGGGGTAACCACTCGTCTGCGCTTCTTGGAGGCTGGACCCTCGCAAGCAGGACGGTACGAGCTGAAGGACAGGCGCTTGCGAGATTGGATAGGAGCAGCGAAGGAATAATCGTTGCTGCTGAGCATGTTGGAAATCATGGCCAATGGGTAAGTGTTTGTATGGCAGTTGAATTGATTGGAGATCATGGCGAGAGGGCACATTGTCATTGTGATAAGCTGATTGCTGATTCTTGGAGTGTGAGAGTTGAAATTTGTGAGTGCAGCAGTTGCCTTGGAGAAGGACAACTTTCGGACCGAAGCTTGACCTGCCAAGGCCAAAGAATCGGTCCACACACCACACACACATCCAAACATCGCCGCAGTCGGTCTTGCGTGTTCAATGATATTTACTGTGACTCCAAAGTGTACGCTACCGGTAAAGATAAGACAAACTGGTGGTGACCTCGATTAGGTGTCTGTGGTGGGAACGGATGCCAATCCTGCATGATAGATTGGAAACCGAGACTGTGTCAAGAACAGTAGCTACCCATCTTACAAGCGTAAATCTCAGGAAATGTCTTATCCACTGGAGGTTTCAGTGGAAGCTATTGGAACCCCTTCTTTTCTGCTGGATCTGAAGGTACATGTATCTGCCTTCATCCGTTCCTGCATTTGTGCTTACACTCGAGCTTGAAGTTATTGAAAATGGGATTTAAAGATGATTGAACACATTGTTGGAGTGGTTGAGTTTTGCAGGCCTGTGTTGCATTGCCTCATCACTCGAGCAAGACAGGAAAGGAGCATTGCATCTGTGAGTGCCCATTCGATAACAATCCGCTGGGGAACATAATGATCTTACCAACAAAAAATGTTTAAGGGTATCTTATTCACTCACAGTGTTGCCAGTCAGTCTAGCACAGTCCAGGATCCGTTCAGACTGGGCTCATGTAAACCGATGCGAAGAAATGCCGAGGCACAAGTCGCCAAACACATATGGATACCTTATCGGCTCCAACAGAAAAGTATAATCTATTGATGGTATGCTTTAACGTGGTTACGTTACGTAAATGTGAAGTGCAACAATACAATTCATCCAGAAGGGTACAAAGTTTAAGAGTATATCTGTTTAACGATCTCGAGTGCTTCACCTTGCGAACTGGTCCTGTAAGATTTCCTATACCGTTTTCTGGGGGCAGGATTTTATTTAAACGTGAAGTGGCAGCGAATGCAGCACCGGTCATACAAAAATGCCCAGACACAATAAGCTCTTGAACTCTGCATCTGCCGCCACTGCTCGAGCTGCCGCCACACCGAACAAGAGATCTTATGCAAACCACTCCAGTCTTACCTTCGTCTTGCGGGAGGGGTTAACAACAAGGCTCAATACACACTAGACTATCGTACTTGGTACGGCACATCTCGCTCGGTCACGGTTGCTGAAGCCGCAACCCGCAACCACAGGAATACAGGAATGCCGAGCAATCAACTCACATGTCAGTACGAGTGGTTGATAATTCAATGAGTGTACCGGTACCAGCAGCAATCAATAATATGAAGCATCTCCGCAAAAGATTCGAATGATTCGGTTCTTGGACATAGCGGCACGGTACTACGGTGCCGAGCTGGCTGGCTACATCGATCCTGGATGGCTGCCAATTATTTCTCACTGAAACGGTGAATATCTAGTAGCTAGCTAGTAGTAGCTAATAGGTCTATTAGATCTAGTAGCGGGCAGGCGGGCATGGATCTATCTGGTCTTGGACCTGTGAAACCTGCAGACAGTCCAGTCTCAGTTATTAATACTTGACACGATACCGGTACGCATAGGTGCGGTCAACCGCTTTGTATCCAGCACTGGCATGTAGGGACGAACAAGCTTTTGGGTATCAGTAGAATCGAATCGAAAGGTTGCAAGGACGAGATGGAAGCAGGGGCGAGGTCGATGGCCGGAACCTGTAAGGCTAGCTGCCCAGTGCTCAGAGTCAATGATAGCCAAATAATGATGTACAGTATTGCAGAGAGGGGGCTCAACCCAGCTTTTAGCAGCGTATACAATGGAAAGCTCTCTTGGAGCTTGGAGGTCTCGAATTACGGACTAAACAAAAGCTGGCTCTTTCGAAAGCGCCAACCTGTTCGTGTAGTAACCAGTCTCTACTGCTGCAACACTCAAGAGATGTTACAGGGCCATCACATGCGACTACAGCAGAGATTTGTAGGCCTCGATTTACGGACCAAGTTCAGAGGGAAACGCCTGGTTGCCAGTTTGCATGCATCCTGCAAGCCTGCAAGAGGCTGAGGTGAAGTACGCTCGCTGCGTACCGGTATCTTTGGGGTCTGATGGTACTATGTTCGTGGTACTACTGCATAAATAGCAACCAACTAGACTAGACCTACATACATGTATGCATACATACCGGTACCGGTGCATGTCGATGGAAAGATCCTACAAGCTTTTTCACAGGCCTTCCTTTAGAAGTATGGTACGTGACCTGGGAGAAAATGGTTTTAGCAATAGCCGGTTGACGAGGGAGGGTTGCTTCTAGCTACTCAGTATCTAGTAGCTATGCAGATGCTGAATGGTCACAGCCAAGCTCTGCCTTTCCACTAAAACCTTCCTGTAGCCTCATCCCAACCTGGATAGGTTGCTTCTTTGGACTGGCCAACAGTGCGGAGAACGAGGGTGACATATCCTGGTGGCCTGGCTACACCACATCGTCTAGGCAGCTTTGCGGTAAAGCCCGCAGCAGAGCCCGTAATCTAGCTAGTAGGAATCATTTCGTTCCATTGGATTTTTCCTCCACGCTGATTCCTCTACTTTTGCACTGCGGATAGTCATGGTGTGCTGTGCTGCCTTCTTCTCAACCCGTTCCTACAGTATGTTTACCGACAACCAGCAAACCAGCTAGGAATTCGTGTCGCTCGCCAGAGAAAAGCTTGGTGATTGACCCCAACCAACCCAGCGAAGCAATGACAATTGCTGCTGCCCGACCTTGCTAACACCTACTTGTTGTCGCCTTCCACGGGGTACAGCTCGATACCTTTGGCAATGATATCGTCGGTCACCTTTTGTCCGTCCACCATCCACTGGTCTCGATTGGCTTCCACCAGCCGCGCAAAGACGGGGCCAATCAACGGTCCGAAGATACCCATATCTTCCAACCTGTGTGCTAGTGGCAAGTTGTAGCTCTCCAAAAAGGCAATTTGGTTTTCAAACCACCCCGCCTTGGGATGAGGCCCTCTTCCATCCTTGTGTGCTCTCTTCAATTCCAAAAAGAGCCGATTCGAAAACTTTTCCATTTGATGCCATCCCTGAAACACGTGTGCAATATCTGCAGCCGTAAGGATTTGTTCCATAATGACACTGGCTCTGAGATCATCATACTCTTCTTCCTCCTCTTCTTGATCGAGTTCGAGTGCTTGCATAGCAGCCACCGTCGACAGTGTCGATCGTCGCGAGTAGGTTTCGAGAAACTCTCCCGACAAGTCGATCGATCGTTGAATACCCAAACGGAATCGTCGTTGATGTCCTGCTGCTTGTGACACGCGACGTTGAAACTTTCTAAAGTTGTCGGAATACCCCAACTCGGCGTCCGTTTGGCCCGGCATTTTGGGCATACTCGACGTTCGTATAGCCGATCGCATGTCTTTCAAACTCGTCCCCGATGTGGTGGCAGCCGTGGATCCCTTTCTCATTTCGCTGAGGCTGCTATTGGAATTGCTGCGACTGCGACCACCGCCACCTTTTTTGGAAAACATGCCTGGAAAGAGTTTGGCGGCCGTTGCCCCGTGCGTACTATGCGAGTCGTCGTCTTGTTCGATTCCCATGACTTCGGCAGCACTATCGTCGTGCTCGGATCCTTCGGGTGTATTGGTCAAGCTGTCGCCCAATTCGGGTAATTGTTCCAGTTCGGACAAGATGGTGTCAGCGGACATTCTTCGACTCTCGGGAGAGCTGAGAACGGAGTGACAGGGTGCAGTGGAACTGCGTCGTTTGAGTTCGTGTTTTACTTTCGCTTCCATCGTTTGAAAGTCCTCCCCGAATGCTTCTTTCCACTTGGATTTTCGGATTTGAGTTCGTTCGGGAGAGGCAAGATCTGTTTGAAGTACTAGTTGTGTGGATACCTTTCGGAATCGTCTATAATCTTCATCATTGGAGAAGATGGCATTGCGTAGATTGGTGTATTGCTTCTGCAACAGTTCTCGAAACCCCACAGTTAAACTTCTGTTTTCTGCAATGGATTGATCATTGTATAGAATGGCCAATTCATCATCTTCCAATGCGAGTTGTCGATTGGGAATTCCCTGATGCTCAACGTCGTGGATCAGTGCCGAAAAGATGAGCAACAGATGCATCAAGGTATCGGTTCGTAATCCAAACATTCTGGGTTTTGTTTTGGACAGGGCGTGGATTTCCGAGTTGAGTGCGAGATCCAGCAATTTATTGACGGAAATGGTCACATGATACGCGTGTTCCCTGTTGTGTTGTGATTGAGATCCACCAAAAAAAGGTGAGTCCATTAGCCAACAATTTGTTTGTACCACATGTAGTAGACCAACTATAACTCAGAGGTCTGAGAAGATTTGCAGCAAAGTACGCACCTGTTATGATAGGGAACATCTCTGTAATCCTTCAACATTTTCCTCACATATTGACGAAGCTCTTGGATGACGGTATCATTGACAGGATGAGGCCACTCGGATTGGCCGTCCATGAGCGACGTTCGGCAAATGGCGGTGGTGCTGAGGTCTTGGTATCTTCCTTTGGGAGCATGAATGGCCACAATCCGAATCAGGAGCAGTGATACCATCCGCTCGGCTGTCAACTCGAGATCGCTCGAGGGGGCCACGCTGGGATCGTCATCCATGCCCAAGGCAGTCCAATCTTGGGACGTAATGGCCAACGCCATGGCAGCATACGGCGGCTTGGAATCCATGGTTGATTGGTTGATTGAGATACCTATGGTACTAATGAAAACTTCAGAATGGTCTTGGGAGGAGTTAATGAAGCACACCACAATCGCAGTACCTGCAGAGGGTGAGTAGATAGGTTGGGAGAATGCCAAGCAAGGTACTGGGAGCCAAAGGATCTCAATCTACTCCTCGGCAACCTCCGAAGATACCCAATCGAAGAAGGATACGCCTCCCTTTCTCGTTTCGCAAACGGCAAATGGTGGTAACGGGCTAGCTAGCTAGACACTACTCAAGCTGCCACTGAGACGAAGAGAACGTTAGCTAGCTAGTAACAGCTACTAGCTAGAAGGTGGAGGTGGTGTCTTCGGATGTCCTTGGCCCCTTTGTTTGATGGCTGCAGTGGTTCTGACGTTCTGACTCGACTCGAATCCTTTGGCGAACTCCGAACAGATTGGGCGAGGGAGACAAGCGAAGATCTCCCCCATTAATTCTTTTTTAGTCGGACCGGTAATGATGCAGTACCAGTACCAGTACATGCACAGCTACATGTACCATTACCCAACTCACGAAGCCAAGCATGGAAAGTGTGAACGGGTTGAGGACTAGTGGCACAAAGACTTGAAGGAGGTTTTAGAGTGGGGAAGTTATCTAGAGGGAAGAGTATCACGCATTCTCCTTCCATGGGGATACTAGTAGGTGTGGACCTTTTGAGGCAAGTCTCTTCCAAGCTCCAAGAGTCGTCCCCACAGCAGAGGGCTTGGAATTGTTGATCTTGTGATGCCAATATTTCCTATGGGTACATGTAGGGGGGAAAGTGGCACTGATCCAACAAGTCCTTACATTTGCTGATTATTTGACTTCGATGAAGTCTTTGGAAGTGCTGTTTACAATAGCCAAGACAAGATCCATGGAATTCGCGCCACTGCTGTTCGCTGCGAAGAAGCAAAGAAACACACCCAGCCACCACATGATTCGATTCGACAAAATCCCTGGCTATGCGCCGGTGGCTGTGGGCAATCTTGAGCATTTGCAGATCTTCCTGGCGATGTTGGAATGCCTCTTGGTAAGTTGCGTGGCTGTTCTGAATGAACTTTTATGATGCCGTACTCATCTGCTATCTGCATGATTGGTTTGGTCTCGGACACTATCATACCAGGATCAAGACCCCAGCAGCGATCCTATAAGGTGCATGCCTTTTTGGTCTTGCCAGATAGAGGCCAGCAGAAGGCGGCGCCAGTCTGCATGCAGCCAAGGACTCACATCCAAAGGCTTGCATCCAAATCAAAGAATACCGTACCAAGACAGCCATCTGACGACGAGGGCCATCTGACGACGAGGGCTACCCAGTCTGCCAGGGCTGCATAGCACCTCTGAGAAGAGGGACAATCTTTGGCGAGTACTCGTAGAGAAAAGCAACTGGTTTTGCTTTGGCAACTTGGAGTGGATCTTCACCTCGATAGCTCGGAATCATGGGATTCGCACCCTGCCGGAGAAGGAATGCAGTAGTCCATTCAGCACCAGCAGAAGCAGCCCAGTGGAGTGGAGTTTCGCCATTGTCATCCTGGTCGTTAACTCCGAACCCAGCGTGGACAAGCGCCAGCATGGTTGAATGAGCAGAAGCAATGCATGACTTGTCAAGATCACTGCGAGCAGCCATCACATGAAGCGGGCCCTCACCAAATGCCCCTTGGAATGTGACCAGGTTCACAAAACTCTTTGATCGATGCTTCTCCAACAACTTCAATGCATCGTTCAGTTTGTTCAGCGATGCCAGTCCTTCATCCAAGTATGCCGCATGGCGCATGAGCGGAGGCAGCATCCTTACAGAGAGACACGCAGTAATCCGCTCATTGAAATTGGCAACGCCTCCAGGCGGCTTGCCAATTTTCGAGAGAACCTTTTCTCTGGATCTTTGGTTCCTCATACGCGCTTCGGAGGCATCGACCTCAACAGACGCCAAATTCTCGGCAATGACAGGTGAGAAAGAACCAACCTCCCATTTAGAAGTAGCGAATGGCCGCGATGTCGCAATGGCACCAGTGCTGCAGACAACGTCCCACGGGAGGCCACACTGATCTGCCAACCACAACTCATAGAATGACCAGAGACTCTGCCCCGAGGGGCCATCGACCCATTGCCTACTAATATCCTCGCTCATCAAGAGAATGAGACCTCCCGTCGTGGCTTCCATGACGGTTTCGTTGCTTCCTTCCCGGCGTATGCCACTGAGCAAGGCGAGGCTGAACACAAAGTAGGTTGTTCGATCAGACAGCCGCAGAGCCTCTGCGTGCCATTCAATCGCCTTGAAGGCATCCTTGAGTAGCATGTCATACGGAAGGATGACGTAATACTCAGGAGCTTGTCCACTCTCGCTGATACATTCTACATAGCTTGTGTCAGGTGGCATGAATTCTTTCGCCAACCCTTTCCAATCACAAGGAAACAAGTGTCTGCTGGAACAATTCGACCAATCTATGGTTGCACCTCCCTCCACTTTCATCTTGGACCGTTTGCAAGTCGCCTCTAAGAAAATCTCAAACTGCCGAAGCTGAGACAGTGTCAACCCGCACTCTTCCCATCGCAGGTTGGCGGCAGACTTTCTGGACAAGCGGGAGGATGCTGCTGTTGGTGACTGTTGTTTCGGCGCCAGAGCTTCGTCAGTACTGGTGACCAGTCCTCTCCGTTCCAGTGCTTTGTTGCATTCTAGAAAGACGTTTTCATCAAGCTTTTGAAACTTTTCTGCCAAGGGTCCGCTTGTTAGATTGCTTTCATAGGCGTGTTTCTGCTCATCGGCTAAGATGAGTTTGCCATCACTGTCCATTTTTAGACCTTCAAGCTCTCTGTCCTCGTCTGATGGTACTTCATCAGCAGAGACAGTTCTGTGGTTGGTTGTCGCTGCGAGGTATTTGTAGGCAATATGGTTCATGATTCGACGACGGTCGACAGTACTGAATGATTCCGCCTGCGACGACTTGAACGTCCGAAGGGCTTGAAGGACAGGCCCGGACGTGACCCTAGACCTCCAACCATGCCAGCAGGAGTACACAGGAGCAGCTGATATCCATTTTTCATTTTCAATCCATGCATCTCACTGTCGTCATCAGTGTCACCAGCATCACTCGTGCTGCCACCACTATTGTGCTTTTTTCGGTGGTCCAGAGCCGCCAAATAGGCATCCACTTTGTCCATGGCAACATCAAACAATCCCACGTTTTCTTTTTCCGCAATGACTCTGCGTACTTTCCAACGCAGTCGGTTGTATGGGGTATCGGTGGTAATGGCCAATTCGAAGTTGCACCAAGATCGGGAAAGGGCGGATGCTGTATAGTCCAAAAACAAGGCAACGTCCTGAGCAAATTCGAGAGCATCATAGAATGGTGATTTCGAAAGCCGTGCCCCCAAATCCAGTTGAAATTGGTTGTTGGCAAAAGTGCATATCCAAACCACGTCCGTGGGCGTCATGCCTCGATCCAATTGCAAATGTTCCAAGGTAGCTACAAAATCTCGGTATTTTTCGGACCATGAATGTGAGATAAAGACAGATGGTCTTTGACGTCTTCCCTGGTTGACCAATGAACTCCAGGAACAGAGACCTCGGTCCAGATGGACAATGATGGGTTTGATAACTTCATAGCATACATCAAACATTGTGAGTTGTGTCCACAGAATGCGAGATCCCCGTGTGCTTTGCTGCTGGGGATTGGCGTCATTTTGGTATCGGAGCAACCCGGTTTGGCAAAGTCGCTGGATAAATCTGGTTAGGTCTTGAAGCTGGTGGCAGGTAATACCCCGTTCGCCAACGCCAACGGCATCTTCCAAAGCTGGATTGGTACTAGCATCGAGTGTCTTGGCGGCGGTACCCAGAGATGGCCACGGAACAACAGTGTTTTTTTTGCGGACCCTCATCCTTTATCTACGTACGGTACAGTTCGCCTCCAGCGAGCTTACTAGCTAGCCATTGTCAAGTTGTTTGCCCATAATAGACAGCTTCCAACTCAATGAAGGGCTATGGTATCTTCGGCGCCAAGCTTGTTGGTGCCTCTTCGAATTCAGAACGCTTTTGGATCTTTGGGTTTCATGTAAAGCAGTGAAGCTGTTAACAATTCAAAGGCATTGAGGTCTCATTCCCGCCCGTGACCGGCTGCTGGCGCAAAGCCAAAATGCTGCTTCCAAACCCAACAAACGACCAGACGATGACACAACCGCTGTCACTTGCTTCTGACAGCCCCTCTAGCTACTAGTAACACCCGTGCAGCTATCTAGCGGCTATCTAGCTTGTACAAGAATGTCTGGCAATAAAGCGGTCCGGTTGGACGGCAGCCAACCTATGCAGGGCACGAACCTGGCGCTCCAAGCGTTCATCTTGGTCGTGTCCATCATTCTGGCAATGGCCTGTGGTTGGTGCCTACGATCTTGTCTTCCCAGAGGTAGCAGCAGCTTATTGCGAGAGGCTCTACAAAGGGCAACGGAAACGGAAGAACGGCGAAAGCGATTTGTCGATGAACACTTGGAGTCCTTTGAATGGCGGGGAGAAGAAGAGGCTGCTATAAAAATGGCAACGAAACAACAAGAACAGAACCAAAAGAAAATGGACAAGAAAGCAACCACCCAACATGACAAAGAAACCAACCTTGATGTCAGTCTCGGCTGTGATGGAGTGGAAGAAGAAGAAGAGAGACAACAAGATCACTCACAGAGTCACAGTCACAGCGACAGTACATGTAGTAGCGCCAACCCTGACGATCAGGATTGCCCAGTCTGCTTGGCACCGCTGCAGAAGGGGGACGATGTCGCAGCATCCGACAACGACAAATGCCCTCATATCTTTCACAGGGAGTGTGTCTACATGTGGCTACTCCGGAAAACAGACTGCCCCATGTGCCGACATACATTCTTAAAAGGGCCAGAAGAAGAAGAAGAAGATGTAGAGCAGCAACAATCGACCAGCAATAATACCGAGCAAAATTCATCGCAACAAAACCAACAAACAACGGTGCCACCACCAGATAGTCTGTCCAACAGGAATGCAGTTGTTCACGAATCATCAGAAGAAGTTCTAGCGTGAATGATCAAGTCAATCCCAATTTTTTTCAGCTTCTTTCTTGTAAATGACATTACATTTTCGTAGCCTGTCAGTAGACTACGCATAAGTTTATGCATAAGTTATTATTGCGCAAAGAATAACCTTATCTAGCTAGGCCTGTGCGTCCACCGCTATACCGGTATTGTTAGTCGTCGTGTGGTGGTGGCCCAGCACTTACTTATTAGAGCTTGATCTTGCGGCGCTTTCGTTCGCGCAAAAGACATCCACTTACTTGGCCGCGCAAAATGAGCAGTGAAGGACTAGACTACTTTGGTGTCAAGCGGGCTGGAACGATGGGAAGAGCGCAAAACGGATGGGAAGAAACCTCCGTGTAGCTTAGGAAGACATGTGGTTTGGAGCGGCGTCTCTGTGGTACTCTGTGATACATTCGAGTAGTAGCACATTCTGGGTGCACTATGACATGACCTTCAACTGAGCATATAATTTCGCGGTCCTGTTCAAAGTCAAACCTGGCAATGCTGAGGCCATTGTTGCGTTTGTCCGTCCCACTGGCTACCGCACGGCTATACTCATTAGAAGGTGACACGAGGAGACATTCCTTCACGGAATCAACAAGGATGATAGTTTGTTGTATTTGGCGTGTTGGTCTATTTGGTCTATTTATTTCTATTTATGCAAAAGCAATCAATCAAATCCATGCACCTGTGGCGCCCGGCTGATACCGGTACTTGAATTGTGGCAACACACAGGGTCGTCCCAATTTGCCACCCTGTGTTTTGAAATCTTCCCTTGCGGTGTGTGGAACCATGTGGGGGTTGCATCGGATGCAGACGCCCTTGTAGACTTCATCATTGGTAATGGGAGAACGGCTGAAAAGAGAACCCCCAGAGTGTGTCATAGTTTTGCATGTTCCACAAACCCATCTCTCATTGATGAACCCTGGTTTGGGTGCTTCCTTGCGCTGCTTGGGCTTAGGTGCCCATACCATGGATTTGCCATATCCGGCATGTGCGTTGAGAGGAGTGACAGGTGGTGTGTGGCCTCTTTCTATGCCTCTGCTAGTACGGTTTCTTTTGAACATCTTTTGCTTTGTTGTCTAGAGTAGAATGTTTTTTGTTGCTCTTGTAGCTTTTGTGTTTGCTGATCTCTGTTTTGTGTTCCTCTTGTCCGCCGCACAAAGCTATGGCCAGACTGAGACTGGGACTGAGCTGAATAAGAGGCGGAGTGAAGTTGAGTGTCAGTCAGTCGAGCGGAGTCGAGTCACAGTTTGAGTCGCGTCAGAATCTGAGTCGAGTCCTGCACGCTTCCAACAAATGCAAAGTGTTGCCAAGGATGCCAGTCACACATGACACTCTGACGCGCAGGATAGGGTCGTGCACCCCCAACCAAACGCAGCTCTGGTCCAAAAACAAAAACAAAAACAAACTAGAGAAAACAGCGACTGCTTGGTTCCATTTGGTTTGATAAGCCCCATGAGCCCACCCGTACATAAACCCTTTGCCTTTGCTGGCAATCAACAGTACTCCAGTGCTAGTACCGGTATTGGAATGCTATTGAAAATAGTGCCAGACAAATCAGTGAGAGAGAGAATACTGGCCGGCAGTGACAGTGAACCACCATGTCGACGAAGAACTCAATACCAAGCAGTTCGTTTGACAACGGCATGGAAACAGTTGCTGGTATGCTGGTATGTAACCCAATATGCGTGCAGCGGACGCAGCGCGACAAAGTCAACCCCAAATGAGCAAGCAATCAATAGTACCATGAACACTCCATCGACAAGAAGTCAAATACGCGGGTTGAAGCAACGACCAGTATCGTACGAACCGGTATCAGCGATGCGAGACCCCAGATCCGTTCGATTTATACAGGAAATGAAGTTTGTCCCATCTATGGTTTGCGTGTATGTATTCCAAGCGACCGCCTTAGCAGGCGGCCTCTTTGAATGCACCCAGGTAGCTTTAGAGAATCGAAGCTACATGTACCAGCTAGTACATGTACCGTACAGTGCAACGAATGAAGAATGCATAAAGGAGCCTCTGGCAGCAGTGGAAGCAGCCTGGCGGCAACTCAGCAAGTTAGGAGTGAGGTCCCCACCAGAAAAGCAATTGTTCTAAACAGGTTTCAAAAAGTGAAGGCAGTTGGAACATCACTGCCTCCTTGCGTCGAATGACGAATGAATCGTTCCCACGTCCCCCCCATTTAGTCGATCAGTACATGTAACAGGCAACAGACATAGGTCGAAAGGGTGCAGGTGCCAGGAGGATGGTACCGCTGAAGGGCTTGAAGAGCCAGTGACGCAGTGAACCATAGCCTGTATAGAATCGAATCACTGCTCCAAAGTCCAAGTTAGTGTGAGAGCTGTGTGATGATAAAGCAGGTCGTGTCGTTATGAGGAGAAGGGAGAAGGCAGAGGTGGAACGTGGAAACCGGTCCTCTCCTAAAAATCAAGCAGCACCGTAGCAGGTGGCAGAGCTTGGGTACATACCGGTACATGTTTGTTTTTGTCCTTTGACAACCGAACAACCAGTGGCACTCAAAAGGGTCTTTTTAAAACTCCAAAAAGGTGATACCACTGACCTGGACCTTGGTGACGTGAACACCAACAATTCATGTGTGGACATAGCATTGTTGTATGTCGGAAGTTGTGGCGGTTGGTGACCTTTACTCCTTTGCTGGATGTCTTCAAAAGACTTTATTAATGAGCCAGCCAGTGCGTTGGTTGCATTCTTGTGTACTTTGAGTTGCATTCTTCAAGAAACCAACGGACAGCAGAGACTTCAAGCAGCTGCTCCGGTTTGGTTTTTGGTTGGGGCGTATTGTACATCGTACAGTAATACCGATAATAAGCCCATGGGGTGGATAGCAAGCTTTTGGCAAGATACATCAGTACAGTACTGTACATTTACTGGTACCATCTCCGTTCTTCACAGGGCATCAGAGGTCGAATAAGAGAGTTGAAAGAGCTGGAAAGCTGGAAAGGTGATCTGAGCAATCGGCGGACAGTCATTCCCTGGCTCTTTTGGCTGGTATGTGGGTCGCTATGGAAGAGTGAGTGACAGTATAGTAGGTTCTCCTGATAAGTCAACAGTTGATTGCCGCTACGGGATTTCTATCTCCGCTTTCTTTGCAACCCCATAGATTCACAAGGAGGCTTAATTGTTGGAGATGTTACTCGTCGCCGCTACATAACAACCCAAGAAACTAACAGAACGCAAGTATTAGAGTGGCACTTTGTGAACCTTGTTTCAGCACAATGCTTAGAAACGTTTTTACAGGACCTCTGTGGAAACATCATTCGTGGCAAAATACTTAGGAGACGATACTCCGAGGAATAGGAGACGATCGAAATGATTTAAGAGACGAAAGCAATCGTCTCCTATATTTAGGAGACGATTCAGTAGGAGACATTCCAATTAGGAGACGAAAGTTTCGAAATAGGAGACGATCCGAAAGATTTAGGAGACGATACCATACAGTTTACATGGTACACTTAGGAGACGATCCGAAAGATTTAGGAGACGATCCGTTGAAAATAGGAGACGTTTTAAGAGGAGACAAAAGATTTAGGAGACGATCCGTTTCGTCTCCTATTTTTAGGAGACGAAATCCATTAAATAGGAGACGATCAAAAGGATTTAGGAGACGAAAAGTAGCACGACTCGAGTTTCCACAGAGGTCCTGAGCGTGATGTTGTTTGCCTGATTGCCTTCTTTGCGTTCTGTTTGAGCCTTCTCTTCAAGCCTACACTAAGCAAGAATGATCCACTTATCTTTCCTCAAGACGTCGTATAAGCCCTTGTGATGTTTCAAAACCGGGTCTTTAATTCCTGTGTTTCGCATCGGGATTGTGCTTCGGCACCTATTAATAGTAGACTCCCGGTCTCCCGGTACATTTTTAAAATATCTACGCTGGGACTACTACTGGTAGTACGAATAGACAAGATCCAGCAAGACGTCGGCACCGAAACGGTACCTCTATCGGTGAGTTGTTCGAAGTGGACTTGTCAGCTCACGTTCAGTCTCGCGAACGATTGTGGGGCCGCCCAAGAAGCGTGCTACTTTAGGGGCATCGTCTTGACCCTTGCTGTTTTTCCGAGAGAATCTATTATTAGCAGTTGCCAGCGTCCGAATTGCTTTCTTTTTCTCCAGAGCATACAACTTTGGCCGGCAACCGGACCTCACTTTAACATCCAGAAACACAAACGCGTCAACAGCAGCGCACATTCTTGTAAAGAGCAGAGCTACCTTGCAAGAGTCGCCCACAATCCGGCAACTCTACAACTACCGACTTGACTTGTGTCATATAATTTATTCCCGGAGGCAAGCAAGCAGACAATAGACTAATAACCATGGCAACTGCAGCATCAGTATCGCCACTGCACAGCTTCTTTGCTAGTAACTTCCCACTGTTGAGGCAACAAAAAGTGGAGATTGTGAGCGACAATCCAGGAGGTTTGTCCAGAACTGAAGCCCTGAGCGAACGACGGAGGCTCTATGATGCCCACCAGCAACGGTTGGGCGACCTGTTCGTAACACCGCCAGCCTCTTCGCCTGTCATCTCTAGATGGGAAAGCGAAGTACCAGATCTCATGACCATCCCAGGATCGCCACCGCAAGCAGAAAGCCGACCAACTTGTAGTAGTGCAATGATTCCCCAGCCCATTGGCCCCAAGATCCCACGACGCCGAAGCAGTTTGGAAGAATTCGATGAAGACGGTTACTGCTGTATCAATGATGATGCGACTGCATCGACTGCAGCATCGACCACTATTCACTCTCGCGAGAGCAATGCAAGCATCAGCAGCCGAGACTCGGAGCCAAGTGATGATCGGCCATCGGACCGCGGTTTGGTGCCACCCAGGAGACGATCCTCTTGTTTTGGAGGATGGCACGGGGAAGAAGTTGAAGCCAACGAGCCTCTCTTGGCGTGCCAAGATGACAGCCAGATCCCGTCCACCAGATTGCACAGTCGACGATTCTCCCGAGAACAACGATGCAGCAGCGACAGGCATCTCATGCTAGAAAAGAAGAGTCTGCATGAAGTCAAGAGCACAAAGAAGACCGACAGGAAGGAGAAGTCATCGACGCGTTCGTCTCGGCGAGGAACCAAGCAGGCTCCGAGGAGACCACGACGTATGAAGAGTATGGAGATTCAAGATGACAGTCTGACCAGCGTCACTCTGGAGTCGTCTTGTTCCTCTGTTGGCTATGACGATGACTGCAGTTTGCGATTGGTCATGTCCGATTCGATTCACACAGTCCTGCAGCATGTCAAGCCAGAGTCCCCACCCACCTCGCCAGCCAGTGGAGGACAGATGAAGTTGTTGACCGCCTCGGAGCAGCTCCTTCTCAATGATCACTGCCTAAAAGGTGTCGTGGGAGCGCTGAGGCGCAATTCACAGCAGCAAAGTCCCGAACAAGGATCCAAACCAGTCTTGACCATCACATACTAGACCGCTAGCTAGTGAATGATGGAGTAGAACGAATAAAGCTAAGTAGTTCTATAACATTGGTTGGACCATCCAATACAAACGATTTCTACGTAGCCTATAGGCTGCCAATCTTCGGCAGAAGCTCAGTAGTAAAAAGGAGAATGCTTTTGGACAGGAAACCGATGCTATCGGCTCCGCAGCCAACATGGCCGCGTGGTACCGGTATCCCCTCAACAGCATCCCGACAGCTCAAGCCCCGCGTCCGTTTTGGGCTCGGCAAAGCGCTGCCTAGGGAGGGTAAGCTCGGTGGACCTCCGCACGACCCTACTATTCTTGAAAGCCCACCCTCGATGGCTTTCCCTAGGAGGGTAAGCTCGGTGGACCTCCGCACGACCATACTATTCTTGAAAGCCCACCCTCGGGGTTTTCCCCTGGGAGGGTAAGCTCGGTGGACCTCCGCACGATCCTACTATTCTTGAAAGCCCACCCTCGATGGCTTTCTCATTAAAAAAAGGTACGATTGCCAAAGGGAGGCATGGTACGGTTGCCAAACAACAAAGCCAAGACAACGCTTGAGTCTATTGGAGCGACTCTTGCCCTCGTGGCGGTGGGAGAGGAGGCTACTCTGAATCAATCTATAGCTAGCTAGCTATCCTGGCATTTTTTTGCTACAAGTATTGCGAAAAGAACCAAAATGAACAAGCTGGCTGTCGCTCTCCTATCAGGAACCTATCGTACTTCTTTACAGCTTGTTCAAGTGTCGTTCCAGTATCACTCCGCCTAAGTCTACGTGCATGTCTACAAGCTCGGTGAAGTGGGAGTTAGACATGTGGAGGCGCTATTGAGCTTCTATTGAGGACGATTTTGTCGGTACTGCTCGTCAGCGTTCTTCAACGTGCGTCGTGAGTGGTTGTCAGCCAGGAAGGCAGACACAGACTTACAAACCAGGCTCCAGCTACCTATACCGGTGGCCACCAAGTCTTGAGTGGTTGAGGAAGCTTAGCGAAACTCCAATCCAGTAGGTCCGGATAGCCTCGTGTGTTCGGTGTGTTCGCACAGGAACTGTTTGAAAGCGCTTCTGTGCTAGGTCTCGACTTTCCCCATCTTGCTGTAGTTGAACTTCCTTTGAATCAAGCCACAAACTAGCCAGAAACTAGTGAGTGCCCTTTTGCAAGCGAAGGACCTAAATGGTTTCATTTCACTTCGCTTCACCTCTACCTGGTCTCGGCTAGCTAGGAATCCCAAAGTTTGAGTGGACGATTGATTCTTGGCTGCCACTTTCTTGTCACTCTTGTTTGTCCAACTGCGAGAGAGGCCAGCGATTGGTAGAACGGCCGTGACAAGTGACAAGGCATGTACCGGTACTGAGCATTCAGTGAGAATACGAACTTGTCAACAGTCTTCTGGCTCGAGATGCATTCCAACATCGACACATGACTGCGTCCAACTGCCTTCTGAATGGTTTCCAGGTTGCTTGGTCTACCCACACAGCTGCCGGGTGGAAGAAACAGTCTTGAGGGAAGTCTCCATGCCCACTTGAAACAACGTACCTGCTGGAGTCTTCTGCGCTTCGAGTGTCTAAGAGTCCAGTCCGAATGGGTCGAGCCTCATCAAGGTCGCTTGAAGATGAGCATCTTGCATGCTGTCTTTTGGTGGTGTGGGAGTGAACACGACTGTCACTCCCACGCCTCAACCATTCCCAGTTCGAATTCCCGTTCGAACGAAAATTCGATCATTATAATTGGATCGATCGTACACGAAACCACTTGAAAAACTCAGTTCCTCACTCTACCGTATCTCACAGCACACCGAAGACCAAGGTTGCTAGCTAGCTTGTACGTGTGACGACAACGTCGCTATCAGCTTTGTCCGCTAAGAGTTGTCAAGAGTGATTGGCATTTTCATTTTACCAATGCTGTGCAGTAGCGTATTCAGAAACAACAAAGTTAAGGGTTTTCTCAGCTGGCTCTGCGGCTCCCGATATCCAAATAATAGACAATATGCAACTAACTAACTTTCTTTTCTCTATGAATCTGAATGTCTTGGCACTGACATCTTGGATTGCATGGTAGCAAGTTGCTTCACTGTCATCATGCAGCTGTTACCCACACTTTTTTGGCAGGCTCAATCACATCGACCCAACCGTACCACCCTTCTGGTAGCATCACGGTATCTCCTGCAACACAACGCCGACAGTTTCCGTCAGAAGCATCTGTCACAAAGAGTACTCCCTCTAACATGTGGAACCAGGATCGTGCTCCATGGTGGACTTGAAAGGACCCTTTTTCGCAACTCCACACTCCCACTTTGGTGGGCCCAATATTGTAAAGTGTATTGGTAGCTGATTTCGCCGGCACTGTATCTCCATACAAGGGATCGTTTCCACTGGTATCCACCATATATTGGGACGCAAAGGTATTATAATGGTCGACTCGTACTCGAATGGGGGTCGATTGTTCCTCTACGCGTGGATGATCATTAACAGCCCAAACTTTGTGGATGGGTTCGTTGACATCCCAGCGACCAGTATGCCCTTTGGGGATGACAACCACATCACCCGGTCCAAAATAATGTTTGACACCATCTGCATCTCCCAAGCATCCATATCCTGACAATACATAAAACACTTCTGTGACTGCCTTGCCTTTCGGAGAGGCCCATCCACCTTCGGAGCAGTACCAACTTCCGGCGCGGAATTCTCCGTCATCTGCTAATTTGCGAGACCAATCCTGTGGAGCGCCCCAATCAAAGGTGGCCCGAGGTCCCTTGGAGGATAACTTGTCTAGACCAAAATATTCCATGGGGACATGGCAGAATCCCAACCTCTCCGTAGCAGCTGCTGGTGGAGCGCCATTGACGGGAGATGCTCCGCCGACTGTCGCCAAAGGGCCACTGACGGCAGGAGTGGGCTCGGTGACTTGGGTCTGTGTCTGGAGGGATTCCAAATAAGACAATGCCAGCGAACTTGGTGGACGGGGAGGGATTGTTGATCCCACAAACGCACACGTCTGGGATCCCCAGAGCGACAACAGGACAAGAGGCTTGAACAGGTTATTCATCGTGTACATATACATACTAGTATCAGGCAGGGTCTATGATTCCGAAGAGGGCCACCGCTCTACTAGTAGACTAGCTTGGTGCGGAGCTGTATTCGCATGCGATTGTTGTTTTCAAAAAACAAGAATGGTGCCAGGGATGATGGGCCAAGTCGGTGAATGACGTCAGTTGTTGAAAGATAGTTTAGCGTCAGTGCGCTTACAAAAGATCCACCATTCGTCATTGGAGGCAGGAGTGGAGGCATGGAGGCATGGTTTGCAGCCAGTAAGTACCATACTGCTAGCTAGTATGGTGAAGGGCTTACCAGCAGGCCTTCCACAAGCAGTCCACTGCCAATCTACAACTAGCATAAGCTCATGGGGAAAAGCCAGAGCAACTGTCTGTACCTGTGAATGCTTGGCTCTTGAGCAACGAGCGCTTTCCCATCTCTTTCTGTCGTGCGGTATTCCTGAGAATGTAGCTATGGGCCCCAAACGCACGAGCCAAAAGGTTGATGCTCTGAACAGCTGGTTATCTTGAACATCTCTCCTTCCGTGGCACGGAAGGACAGAGACAGCCATCTCAATAATATTATATGAATCTCTCCAAGATAGATGTACTCCGAACTCCTATCACGGATGCGGGACAGGACAACTATCGCCATGACTCTAAGCAGAGCAATGTGGAAGCACACTTGCTCCTGCCTGGACTGGTACGTCACCGTAGATAGAGTTAGGGTTTTCAAGGGAACTGATCAGTCGGTAGGAGCCAATCCAAGCCACATTGCTAGCAGCCACCAATCGAAGAGGACAATGGCGTCCTTTTCTTTTTTGAACGGCTACGGCTACCGCTCATCGCCTGTTGTTCCCACTACTGCTACTACTAGTACGGCTACGGCTACCGGCCGTTGGTCCTGTAGCGGCAGCCTTGTTATTGGTTGATCGATCGATTGAACGATCGATTTTTCGTGTGCTTTTTCCACACGAGGCTTTCGTGTGCTTTTTCCACACGAAAGCACTCTCTGGCCATGATGCGTTCACCACCTGGTGTTTCTGCTAGCCCCACCGCCATGATGCGTTCACCACCTGGTGTTTCTGCTAGCCCCACTGCTATGATGCGTTCACCACCTGGTGCTCGCTAGCCCCAACGGCGAGTCACCGACTGGTGCTCCCACCCCACCTCCACGAGCGACACCACCTGGTGCTTCGACTCGTTCGCTCCGCCGGAGTTCACCAACTGGTGCTCCGCCGTTGTTGTTGCCATACGTCCGACTCTAGGGCCATGGTCGATTTTTTCGCGTTCGCGATTTTTCAACAACAACAACAACAGAATTGGCCCTTAAGTCTTCGACTGATCGGCCTAAGTCTTCCCCGGAATACCGCCTAAGTCTCGCGCTCTTGGCAAGATTGGTGTCCCTTATGTCTTCGGACTGGTGACTGGGTCGCTATCCCCGCTTTGAAATCTGGAATCCGACTGACGTCATCGGCGACCGGATTTGGTGACGTGTTTTCATCCGTGCTTTCGAAATATTTTAAGTCGATGCATGAAAAGTCCTTCGCGCGAAGACGATGCTTGAAAAGAACATAGGGGCCTCTAAGTCTCTGACTCTGCCCTCTAAGTCTCTGCCCCCGCCCCTTAAATCTTCCAACCACCGATGACTTGGTGCGCCGCGAGACTTTTGTCTGGTCACCGCCACTGACTGTTCAGTGCTACCTCACACACTACCACTGACTGTTCAGTGCTACACCACACACTACCAAGCCACACCACACCCTTGCATTGATATCCTGACAGCATGGTACCTGACCAGGCACCTGTGTCAGAGATTGAGGTTGACTCATTGCATTGGATCCCCAGTTCAAAAGCTACCTGGCTGGTAGCCCTTTGGATTCTTGGATTGGGTTCAAGCCCTGTGCAATCCTACAGCAACAGTACCAGTCTGATCTACTGTGGTGGTGGCCCTGGTTCCTCCCATTCCAGGCTATGCAGTGCAGCACTATGAGGTCATAATCCCAATCCTGAAAGCTTCCAACCAAGCCTTCCCTGATTTGGACCACTGCATCCTGCCTCTTGTTGCCTTCCAGTTGCCTGCCTCCCAGTTGTTGCTTCCCTTCCAGTTGCTGTCCTGTTGTTGTGAGTCCTTGCTTTGTCCAGCTCCAGCCCCAGTTCTGTTTGCCTGGTGCTTTTGCTGTTGGTCCTGCCTTTATCCAGTTCCTGACTGTTGTTGCCGCTCCCAAAAGCATTGTTGCCGACAGTTCATTGAGTCATTGAATTGTCCCACCAACGACACTTCAACACTCCTTCCAGCACCATCCCCAGCCATGTCTGCTGACCTTCTAGTTCGTGGCAAGGCCCACGAGATCAAGTCCGTCTCCAAGGCTATCTTGGAGTTGACTGATGAAGCCACCCGCCAGTTTGTTACCACCAAGCTCC